ACCACAGCTCGTAGTGGCATTCTCATGTTCAAAAAGTTTGTGACACTTCCACCAGAGTCAAGCCAGAGTCACCAATGCTGGTGATTGCTGCCACTGTAATAAGCGCCGATTGTATCACTGCTCCCTTGGCCACTGTTGTGTTTATGTCTGACTCTTCACCATCGTGACTGGTGTCACCGTGACAGAATGCTGCCAGTGCCTGAAAAAGGCTTCTAACAGACTAATTAGTGTCATCTGAAGGTGACAATAATACTAAAAGACGACTGTGTCAGCAATGATGAGCTTGCCTTTTCTCAGCACCCTAAGTACATTGAAAACTCTAAAAGTGCAGTTTTAAAGGCAAGAGTTTTCTTATTTTAGAACATAGCAGCACACAGATTTACTGGTACAGGGCCAACTTTAAAAAAACCTGACAGCTGACAGAGTTATATTACATCATGACATCAGGTAATTGTGAAATGGGGTTTTTTACATCCTGTTTACCACTATAATCACAGCTGGTTCAATTATGGATGAGCTCCTTTCATGGTTGATAAAAGCCTCTAAAATCCACAAACCTGGCTTTTATCTACCCCGTGAAAGGGCACAAGTAGCTGTTTTTCCCAGGTTAAGTGAATTTGTAGTAGTCCGTGTGTATTTATTAGCCTCTTTTTTGACTGTTACTGATGAAAACCGGATGCCTGGATCAACATGCAAATTTTTTTGCTGCAGCACTGCATGTGCTCAACTAGAGTGTGCACAAAATACCAAGAGATGATAATTGATTTGCAAAAGGCAACAGGTAAATTATGTTATCGTGTTTTTTGAACCAGTGGAAGAATTACTTAGATTTAGCAAAGCTAAACCAGACCAGAATCCAGGTCTGTTCAAAGAATTCAATTGAATAAGTTTCAGTTCACAGTAACAACATCCAGAGTGCACGTTACCCTTTTTTGAGACAGCTGGCACTGCTGTTGAGAAATCAGCTTTGTTCTTTAAGCTGAAATGTTTGAAATGGCTAACACCAAAAACTAAATGTTCTCTATGCAACTTATTTCTGTGCAGCCTCCTACAGTTTTGAGTGTGCAATGATGTTAACATGCTAAAAGCATGAGGACAGTCTGAAGAATAATCTTCGCAAAGGCACCTGTACAGAGTCAGCTTCCATCACCAGGGATCACTCACAGCTCTGTTTCAGTCTTATCACACTGCACAGTCTATAAATCTGCTTTTGTACTCACTCATGCTTTGCCGTCTTCTTTAAACACTCACTCACACACACGTGCACACACACACACACACACACACACACACACACACACACACACACACACACACACACACACACACACACAAAATCACACAGTTTGAAGATAAGGTAGCAGCAAGTGAGAAAATGAACAAGGGCTTTTGTTCCAAGGATCCAAATAATCACGAGCATTCAGTCAGGTAACTTGTGTGTTCCTTCACAGCTCACCACATCTGGTGGTAGTTTCACTGTTGACTTTGTCGATCGAGTCTTATCAAGGCTCTCATTCCTGGGAAATGTTCCTGTCCATGGATCATTGATAGTAAAGTGTGAGAACGACTAGGTGGAAGGGATACAATGTTACCAGTCTGGATTACAATACACTCATCAGTCATATGAATGTGTGTGAACCAATTGTTTTTATTTTGGAAAAACAGATTGCTAAACTGTTTTCCAACCTTCCCGTCCGGGAATTGGTAACCTGTGTAGTGGGTAATTCAGCTGTGTGTGTGTGTGTGTGTGTGTGCGCGCGCTTTTTAAAATGGCGTAATAAGAGGCAGGCTGTCCCAAATCTGGTAAGATCATTGCATCTGGCATTACGACAGCTTGTATGGGAAGCTCGTCAAACCAGTCGGGGGATGAGAGCACAGTTTTCCGGTCTTTGCTCTCATACTTCCATTCTTTCATTCCATCTGCCTTCATACACCCGTCTTCTCAGCTCATCATCCTCTATTCACTCAACTAAAGAACTAACCAGCAAAACACAGTAAAGCTATCTGCTAGAGGACTAGTATCCGGTGTTAGCAAAGTGGAAATCTTTGTAATCATTTCTATAAAAGCAGATAAAACATGACTTAACATGTCTTAACCACATAAGTGTGGATTATTTTCATTGTGTTAATATGTATGCATGATTTTTAACCAGGGCAAGCGCAGACGCTGTGTGTCAACAGAAGTGGTCCCAAAATAGCACGATATAGTCTGTGGTCTGTCATACAGCAACAGCAGTCTGATATCAACTCATACTGAAGTGCAGTGGATGCCTGTGCAAGTGTGCATATCGTGGGTAGCATGTGTGTGTGCATGCCTGCTGGGATTATAAATTTCACTGTGGTTTATGTACGATATCCCCGTGTCTAATGTGCTATGTCCATCAGCCTCACTCTGAAGCATAAGTCTCCTGGACCAGACAGTGAATGCACAACACTTTTCAAATAAGCTGTGTGCAAATTTATCAATAAAATAATCATAGTAAACAGGATTAGCTGTCATTATTGCCCTCGTGGCTTTTTAACTTGAGTGACACTGTGATTAATCTAGACTCAGGAAATAACACCACTGCTGAGCGCACTTCCTGTAATGCAATGACTGTTTTGTGAAGACATTGTTGGCGTTTCTTCTAAATCAGCTGACCTACCCTCAGTTTTGTAAAAAGAGCTCTGTTCTGCAGAGTGGGGATGCATCGTATAACCACCAAACATGTGAGACTATAAATGAAGCAAAGTGCTAAGAAACATTTATACAAGTGCTTCTAATAATTTATGACAGTTCTGCTTAATTAATTACAGATGCTAAACAATGACCTCCTTGATTTAGCTAGCATATCACATTTGCAAATAAAGGCAGAGAACACCACACTTCTGTCTGGCATGATGGGCTGCCGTGGTGTGCATGAAGACCTCCTCAGCCATGTGTCTTTGGCGGCTCGAAGGCTGCACAATGGCTGATGTGTCTGGTTATGAGTGTCTCACTAGTGTGAAGAGAGATGGTCTTTGTTGTCTTCATCAACGCTCATTTTTGTGTGCCTGTGACCACTGCCTGATTTCAGACTGCCTCCGCATAGCTGGAGAGATGAGTTGCAAGCCCCCCGCCTTATGTCTCTGTAGCAGGGCAGGAAGGAAAAAAATTGCAGTTCTGCTTGGAGGGTTTCCCTCACAGGGGAGAGTGTGCATCTGTGGTGGTGTTACCATTTAATGGGGAGAAACCTGAACGAGTTTTAAATACTCACTTTTGAATTTCAAAGAGTGCGAGCGAAGCTGGGGCTCCCCACCTTTGAGGAACATTTGAGTCATTTAACAATGCTACTTCTTTGATGTGTACGAAAATATTTTTCGCTGTCACGTCATTTATTTATTTCTGTATTTAGACACAGTCATAAACAGGAAGTCATGGATGAAATTATGTACAGCAATCCAATCATTGTACCAACACATTTGACAGAGTTATAGCAGTACAGCTAATTGTTAACTTGTTTTTTCTCAAAGTTGTGATAGTTATGGTATTAATGGAAAACTCTTGACACTTTTAGAGTACATCTGGGTCAGCTCCTTAAAAATACCCCCATAGAAGGGGAGTGGACATTCGTCGACGGAGTGGGTTTGCCTCAACCATTAGACGTGGGTGGTTATGGTAAGAGGTGGCGCTGGGACGACCTCAGTGAGTCCTGCCAACGCCCAGTCATGTTTTTGAGTGATTCCTTCCTCAAAAAAAGAGAGAGACATTAAGTCATTAAAAAAATAAACAAAACAAAAAACAAACAAAAAAAACCCAAAACGCTGCCATGGTGGTAGGTCATTTATTTAGAACGGTAACATTATATTGTGTTGTCAAGATAAAAACTGAAATGTTAGGATGCTTACTGAGTAGTATGCTAATGTTACAGTTACATTATGTTTGTATAAAGGTTTAATGTTAGGCCAAGGTACAAAAGTGATTTCACAGCAGCAGCCGTGCCAGCCTTCTCAAACAAAATGATAACATAAGCAGGATAACACTTTAATGTTTTCACTGTGAAATTACTCAATTTGAATTCTTTGAATGGAACCTCTATGTTGATCCTTGCTTCATTTAATTGGAAGAATTGCCTCCCATGGTCCAAAAAAACCACAGTCACATTGTTTTGCAAACCGGTTATTCCTCGGTCTCCCCCATCCCCTCACATACAAAGTATTTCTGACTCTCTCATCAATGACTCAGAGGAGAGTTATGAGTGCATATGCTGCCTGGAGCGGCGGTCCCCAACCTTTTTTTGTGCCCCGGTTTAATGTCAGGCAATATTTTCACGGACCGGCCTTTAAGGTGTCGCAGATAAATACAACAAAATAAAATGATACGACCAAGACAAAAACTGTGGTATTTTGTAAATATAATAATAATTGCGAATTCACTGTGAAATTGTGTACCCTTATTCACCACGTCCTCCTGAAATGCGCCAACAACATTGAGAGTAACATCCTCCTTTCTGCCCCTTAATGCTCTCTGGATGCTATGGTAACGTGTGAATATTTCTTTCAAAAAAGACACACAACTACAACACAGGAAAAGACTGAGGGGAAACAGAGTTAATGATAAAAAATGTGAAAACCATAAATTTCGCACCCGGGCCTCAACTCTCGCGGCCCGGAACAAAACGACTCACGGACCGGTACCGATCCATGGCCCAGGGGTTGGGGACCACTGACCTAGAGTACCAGTACCATATCTGGGGATATGACTGGGGTTTGGGGGAAACTGAGGATTAGACATGTTTCTCCTTTACCTGGCAAGATTTTAGAACATTTATTTTCAGCCTATACAAAAGTTCGCATTTCACTGAGAAAACTGTTTGATGCTCTTTACTCTTATAATATGAAGATGTTGCACATGCATGATAGATGACAACACAGATTGGTTTATAAGTGGATGGTCTGGCTTAGCATTGGCATTTATTTAGAAAGTGTTGTGGATATGAAGTGCCTTTCTGGTCTTAAAACTCTGCTCTTGTCTCTTGCAGCCCTGCAGTGTGTGGATGATAAGGCACCTTGTGTAAACAACGCTACATGCCTGAAATTCAGCAATGGCACTGAGTACTGCAGGTAAGATCTACTGGCCGGGCCTGCAACCAAACATAGCTACACCTTTAGTTTAAGTCATGCTGCACACACTTTAACAACATTCAACAAAAAGCGTGAGCACAGCAGTAGACATGCCTCATAAGGGGGGACTGTTGGATGTGAAAGCAAAGGCAGGAAAAAAGTGGGTTTTAGATCAACCCCAGCCTATTCATGGGACCATGAGGTTTTGCTCAGACACGACTGGGGGAATAAAAGACCGCTCTGTCTGACAAAGTACTGGGAACAATACCAACACACACATTTCCACCTCCAAGATTTTATTTCTGGGACATTTCAGGGGTTTTGTTACTCTCTCTTGTGTTTCTGTAGAATTGATCGCTCCAGGCTCTGCCAACACATTTTACTGCGCACCTTTTTGTTTTTTTGTTTTTTTTTGATTTGAGTGGGATGTCAAGGTTGGTAACATTTTTATTACAGGAGAATAACGAGGACAAAAAAATTAAACTGAAGCTTGAAACGACCTGTGAATGAGTCTCCTCGTAGCCGTGGTGTAATCAGACCAGAGAAAGGCCCACAACGTAAAGGAGTCCAGTGGGCCGCTTGAGCTAAGCCTTCCACTTTCTGACAGCATAGGGTAGTTTGTAATTAAGACTGTGTAGTCTTTTTAATTGCATTGCCACTCCCAAGCCAAATTCCAAACACACATGCACCATCGCTGGTTCTTGAAGCTGATCATATTTCATTAAATGTGATGAGAATCCTGCTGTGCGTCTGTTCCCAGAGTTTGTGGAATTTAAACACTGCTACTTGTGCAAGAAGGGATGACAACAAAAGCAACATTCCTTAATGTGTTTGACCTTTTTTTCCTGTCTGCTTCACGGACAGATACAAATTATTGCACAGGTGCCAATCTCTGTGTACACTAGTTTGTTAGTGCTTTGTGTTAATGAGAAAAGAGACGCATGCAGAGGGGATGTGAGGAGATATTGCTACATCGAAATATTATCTAACATCTAAAGACAGGCTGTTTTTAGTTTATTTCTCAGATGGAGGAAGAACATCTAGATAGTGGTGATCAGTGGATTTTTACAAACTAGGCTTAGAAAACAAAACCAACCAACTTCAGAACTGTCGTTAATATGCACAGAGGGTAATACGGCTTCATTTAATTTGTCCTTTCTGCTGCCTTTCATTGGCATGTGTATCTTAAATCATTTGCAGCCTTTTAAGGCTTGACCACATCCTTTTAGGTTTTATTTTTATGATACTGTTTATTACTTTACTGCTATTTAACTGTGGTTGCAGGTTATAATATTAGCATTTTTACGTTTCTTCTACAACTTCTACAACTTTATTCACCATTCCTCCTCAGCTAAGTTTCTCCTTTCCTGACCACAGAGTTGGTATTCTTTCCTCTGATTTGAGTGATCCTGACAATAAGATTAAACTGTAGAGAGGAACATTGCCCTGTAGAGACAAAGAGAGAAGTCTCTCAGTTTAGAAAGTCAGCTGACAGAGAACAGGCCTACTGATTAGGTAGTCAGACAGTTTTTCTGCTGTCTGAAGCCAAACATTAACAACACGCACACTTATGTGCACATAAAGGCACACACTTTCCTCTGTCCAGGCTTTCTGGTCGCAATTGTGTTGTATTGTCAGTCAAAAGGCTCATTGTGCAAAAAATCTAATTATGTCCCTATTAGTCTCCTCAGTGTATTAAAGGCAGCTGGTTGTAAGTAAACAGTCACTCTGGCTATTTAGCTTGGACCTGCTTAATTATGTCACATGGATCATGACCGAGGTCAACAGATAATTAATGTGACAGACTCATGCTGGGTGCTGCTGAAGGACTTGAAATATTTGTTTTGGTTTCTTCACTGCATGAAAACATTTTTGGAATATGCATTTCCTGTAGTTTCACAAGCAGCATGGACGAGTAATGGATGGATGTGTGAGTGTGTGGCTCATGAAAAACGCGATCATTTCCTTTCAGCTGTTCTTTTAAGTTCATGCTCTGTGTTAGCTGTGATATTGTAAAATTTCTTATCTGGTTAGTTTCTACAGAAGAGACATAAAGGGTAGCTGTGAACCTGTCTTTAATTGTCATAACTTTATTACTGCTGCGGTAGTACATATAGAGACATTACAAGAGAGAAACACTCAAACAATCCTGAATAGAAATCTGTGTGCGAGTTCCTTAAAGGCAAAGAGGACATTTGGCCTGCACTTGCTCCCAAAGAGCCAATTATAAGCAGAATCCTGATACAAATGACTCAGTCCTGTCTTTGCATGAATACAGTAGAGGTTCAAAAGAGTTTCAATATTGTAGGAGCAGCCATATCTGTTCATTGTTGTAGTAAAGATGTAGGTAATTAAGTGTTATAGTTTTATTTCCCTCACTGTATCCATATTGCAAACCAACTCTACATTTCCTACATCATGATTATAACGTTGTGCACACATTATGTGCAAGTCCTTAGTGGTTTTCATCATGTTATTTATTTATTTATTTATTTCCCATACACTATGGCTTAAAAATACTTCTCTGAATACATGTCAAGAGGTTGTTACGGGAGACTGGCTTCTAGACGTACTTTGGTATAACACGAAACTTTGAAAAACCCTTCTGGTTAAACTGGGCAAACGAAGCTTGATTAATCGTTTTTTACTGCAGAAGGAGAGAAACTATAAACTTCATTCCGTGTTGGGAAGGTTACTTTTAAAATGTATTCCACTACAGATGACAGAATACATTCCCCAAAATGTAACGTATTCCGTTACGTTACTCAGTGAGAGTAATGTATTCTGAATACTTTGGATTACTGAATATATTAATATGCTTTTTACAACTACATGAATGTACTATTGCTCTCTGTGATTTATTACTATTATTGAAGGTTACTCACCATACCAATACCAACTAGATTTTAAAATCTTGATGTAAAATGAGTAACAGTAAGGTGGATATTAGGTAAAGTTGCACTTTTTGACGCGATCCCATATAGAAAACTATTCCGCGCGTATATAAAACAGGTCCGCGGCTCCAAACCGTAGTAAAGGGACCTCTGGCTAATACGCCGGGTTCGTGTCGGGCTCGTAGCCGAAAACTAGCTTTACTTTGTTGTCTGGGTCGACTTTGCTAGCGAGAGACAGAGGAAGGCGTTGAAAGGCTGCTCCAACGGAACTTATTGTTTCGGAGGAAAACACAAACACAGTGTACAGTCGAGTCTTAATAGCTTACTTACAACTGGGCTCGTCAGGCTCTCTTTTTGGCTTCAGTGGTTATTATTATATTTACATGCTTCCATCTCGCGTTTCTGGTCAGTGACAACTCGTACTTTTCCACTCACCTTTTTCTCCCTTCCTTGCCATATATAACTGGTATGGCAGTCCATTCTCCCTGCAGCACGGGCTACACTGCCCATGAGGCTACATTCTTTAGGGCTTTGCCTGTAACACTCTGCCTATTGCCTTCATATTAAATACGTTTTTGAATGATAATTTTAAAAAATATTTCTTCACATCATTTTGCGGGCCACAAGTAGGAGTGACATGGGCCCCTTGATGTGTGTTTTGTTTGGGTTTCCACCAGCGTGGAATTACCGAAAATACAGAGTGCATAGCCTAACATATGAAACAGAAAAAGACCATCGTGTAATCCGTTCATTTCAATAAAGTAACTATATTCTGAATATCACCTATTTAAACGGTAACTGTAACGGAATACAGTTACTCATATTTTGTATTTTAAATACGTAATGCCGGTATTCCATTACTCCCCAACACTAACTTCATTCACCTTATTTGAAAGAGTGAATGTGCATGGAGTGAAACGGTAATACTTGAACCTCCACACTTCCTCTCTGCACGTGCAGTACTTTTTCAGCTTGCTTCATTTCTGCTGAGATCCTGCACATCCTCTTAATTCTGGAAAGTATAGAAATGCTGCAGTCATGGAAATTCCTTCTGTCCAATATTTTTTGCTTTAAAGAAGAAAAAAAAGTGGAGAAAAAATAAAAGAAAGAAAGAAAACTACAGTTTTATTTTTGCTGTACTATAGGAAATACAGTTTAAAATAATGGTAGTTGCTGAACGCAACATCTGAAAAGTCTTAGGATTAAATTTTTATTTTTTTTACCCCCTCTCTCTTTGGATCATGAGTCTTGAACGTGCACATGGCTGTGAGAGTAAGTCAAAGTGGATGGGAGAGGCCCGTTGGCTGGCATGTAGGGCAGGGTGCAAAAAAGCACAGAAGCTGTCTAACCGGTGACACTACAAGCCATCAGCTTGGGTGTGAAAGCCATGAGTAATTCTCTGTGCAGATTCGTGCATGCCAGTGTGCCCGGATAGGCATTTGTAAATGGATGTTACCTGAAAGTATATTTGGTAACAGAACAGAAACCTTGGTCATGTTTGTGGGCCTCAGTGGAGTTATTACCTGAGAGGTTCAAGCAAGATCAAGACGACACAGATCATCATTATTATGGTATTTTACATCCGCAACATAATCCGTGTCTTCCGCTGGGTCATGCTGCAAACTGATGAACTCTCCCTCCTTTTTAGTCTTTTTTTTTCTCAGTTTTTTGTTCTTCCCCCTTTACATTTCAAACCTTTTCTTAAAGGTGAGGGGAGCGTTAGTGTGTTGTGTAGACCTGCTACCTTTTTGATCTGACAGGTAGAATTAGCCCGCGGGGCAGACGGAGGAAGCGAGAGGGCCTAAACAAAAGAGGATGTCTCTTTTCAGGTAATTTGAGGAGTAGTACCTCGGAGCACAACTTCTTACTAATGATGAGAGGGGGGGAAGGGAAGAGTGAAGAGGGGAGTGTAATTTCCCTCTTGCTATGCCTCCTTCATCAAACTGTCACTCATTTATCCCAAGTCCCTACCACTACCTCAGGGATTTACTAGATGGCATTTGGCCTCTTAATCTTTCCATGGCATCAGTGCTGAATATTTTTTTAGACTATTTTCCAGAATTGTTATTGTTGAGCTCTTCACCCACTGGCTTTATTTAGTAATTC